GGATGAACAACATCACTTGCTTGATAATGGTGTTACAACATACACCTAAACGTCGCTCCTAACTGTAATAAAGACGTTGTTCATCAATATATCTTATCTCTACTCAGTTTTCATTATCGCTAAAATTAGACAAAACTGTAAAAATGGTTTAACATGTGTGGTAGCACAGCTAGTCCCTGTAAAATTTTCATTTAAAAAAAATAAATAAAAAATCACAGCGCACAGGGAAATTGAGCGAGGCTCAATTCGAACGGTATTCCCATGTTATGTTATGTTTTTCTGAAAATGTACATGAAGCGCATTGGTCAAGAAGTTTATATGAAGACCACTCCGGAATACAAGGATTCAAAAATGCATACATGATATTGTAAATATATCTAGATTTTTAGACAGGATAATGCATAGATAATATTCCAACAGTCAGATTAACGTAGATTCCTCTACGCTGGGCAAACACTGGTCTATGTAGAATCATATCGTTATCTGGGACTACGGGTTGACGAGCATCTAGATATGTGAAACTGTGAAAGAGTTGTACAATTCTGCCAGCCATGCTTTGTCTTATTCTGTTGGGTGTATGTCTTATGATGTTTTTTTATGAAACTGTATGAAAGTCTTGTTGAGCCGGTAATGATCTATGGCTCTGGTATATGAGGATAAAACGTTTATCTAATCCACAATAGAGCCGTAATTATTTCTTGGTGTTAGTAACGGTACCTCCAGTATAGCCACTAATGGAGACATGGGTCTCTCCTCCCCGTTTGTTACTCCTGCTAATGTTTTTAGACTACCCCAAGATTTAATAACAGTACTTGTAACGCTTTGATGAAGAAAATGGTTACTATGTAAAAGTTCATGGAGTACTAAAGTTGTTAAAATTGCCTGTAATCTTAATATTAATGATGTTATGAATATTATGACTGCTCCAATGTCCCGAATTGCCCATATTAAAAACGTTCTCGTAAACAAAGATGAACTGAGCTGGAGAACAAAGCTTTGGAACGATAAACATAACGTTAAGGGCAATACATTAAGAACTTTCATAATCGTAACGTTGTTGCTCCTTATGTTTTAAATACAGGGACCACCGTCGCATTTTAGCTAGTTTTAGATCTGGATCGAAACAGGACGATTTACAACCCCCCAAACCTTTTAGAAAATAGAATCTGCCCGCACTGTTTTAAAATTGTTCATAAAAGTTTGTCGAAAATGAATTTCACTTTATTAAATGTTATGTCCTTTATGATCTTAGAAGTATTTTACTTAGATAATGGTCATCTCTTTTGAAACACGTGACGCATTCATAAAATAACTTCCTCTGTAAGGTTCACACCCAATTGTCAGACATCCCATTTGGCAGGTGGCCGAATCTTCAGACAGACCAGTCAAGTGTGACCAGTGTATTCGCCTGGTCTAAACTACTAATTACTGTGCTGCTCTCGACTGTGGGCAGAGTAAGCTATTCAAACTCGTTAAGTGATACAGATTAACCAGATTCCTCTACGCTGGGCAAACACTGGTCTATGTAGAATCATATCGTTATCTGGGACTACGGGTTGACGAGCATCTAGATATGTGAAACTGTGAAAGAGTTGTACAATTCTGCCAGCCATGCTTTGTCTTATTCTGTTGGGTGTATGTCTTATGATGTTTTTTTATGAAACTGTATGAAAGTCTTGTTGAGCCGGTAATGATCTATGGCTCTGGTATATGAGGATAAAACGTTTATCTAATCCACAATAGAGCCGGTAAATTATTTCTTGGTGTTAGTAACGGTACCTCCATGTATAGCCACTAATGGAGACATGGGTCTCTCCTCCCCGTTTGTTACATTACATGCTTATGTTTTTAGACTACCCCAAGATTTAATAACAGTACTTGTAACGCTTTGATGAAGAAAATGGTTACTATGTAAAAGTTCATGGAGTACTAAAGTTGTTAAAATTGCCTATAATCTTAATATTTATGATGTTATGAATATTATGACTGCTCCAACGTCCCGAAAGAAGAAAATAGCCCATATTAAAAACGTTCTCGTAAACAAAGATGAACTGAGCTGGAGAACAGAGCTTTGGAACGATAAACATAACGTTAAGGGCAATACATTAAGAACTTTCATGATCGTAACGTTGTTGCTCCTTATGTTTTAAATACAGGGACCACCGTCGCATTTTAGCTAGTTTTAGATCTGGATCGAAACAGGACGATTTACAACCCCCCAAACCTTTTAGAAAATAGAATCTGCCCGCACTGTTTTAAAATTGTTCATAAAAGTTTGTCGAAAATGAATTTCACTTTATTAAATGTTATGTCCTTTATGATCTTAGAAGTATTTTACTTAGATAATGGTCATCTCTTTTGAAACAGGTGACGCATTCATAAAATAACTTCCTCTGTAAGGTTCACACCCAATTGTCAGACATCCCATTTGGCAGGTGGCCGAATCATCAGACAGACCAGTCAAGTGTGACCAGTGTATTCGCCTGGTCTAAACTACTAATTACTGTGCTGCTCTCGACTGTGGGCAGAGTAAGCTATTCAAACTCGTTAAGTGATACAGATTAACCAGATTCCTCTACGCTGGGCAAACACTGGTCTATGTAGAATCATATCGTTATCTGGGACTACGGGTTGACGAGCATCTAGATATGTGAAACTGTGAAAGAGTTGTACAATTCTGCCAGCCATGCTTTGTCTTATTCTGTTGGGTGTATGTCTTATGATGTTTTTTTATGAAACTGTATGAAAGTCTTGTTGAGCCGGTAATGATCTATGGCTCTGGTATATGAGGATAAAACGTTTATCTAATCCACAATAGAGCCGGTAAATTATTTCTTGGTGTTAGTAACGGTACCTCCATGTATAGCCACTAATGGAGACATGGGTCTCTCCTCCCCGTTTGTTACATTACATGCTTATGTTTTTAGACTACCCCAAGATTTAATAACAGTACTTGTAACGCTTTGATGAAGAAAATGGTTACTATGTAAAAGTTCATGGAGTACTAAAGTTGTTAAAATTGCCTATAATCTTAATATTTATGATGTTATGAATATTATGACTGCTCCAACGTCCCGAAAGAAGAAAATAGCCCATATTAAAAACGTTCTCGTAAACAAAGATGAACTGAGCTGGAGAACAGAGCTTTGGAACGATAAACATAACGTTAAGGGCAATACATTAAGAACTTTCATGATCGTAACGTTGTTGCTCCTTATGTTTTAAATACAGGGACCACCGTCGCATTTTAGCTAGTTTTAGATCTGGATCGAAACAGGACGATTTACAACCCCCCAAACCTTTTAGAAAATAGAATCTGCCCGCACTGTTTTAAAATTGTTCATAAAAGTTTGTCGAAAATGAATTTCACTTTATTAAATGTTATGTCCTTTATGATCTTAGAAGTATTTTACTTAGATAATGGTCATCTCTTTTGAAACAGGTGACGCATTCATAAAATAACTTCCTCTGTAAGGTTCACACCCAATTGTCAGACATCCCATTTGGCAGGTGGCCGAATCATCAGACAGACCAGTCAAGTGTGACCAGTGTATTCGCCTGGTCTAAACTACTAATTACTGTGCTGCTCTCGACTGTGGGCAGAGTAAGCTATTCAAACTCGTTAAGTGATACAGATTAACCAGATTCCTCTACGCTGGGCAAACACTGGTCTATGTAGAATCATATCGTTATCTGGGACTACGGGTTGACGAGCATCTAGATATGTGAAACTGTGAAAGAGTTGTACAATTCTGCCAGCCATGCTTTGTCTTATTCTGTTGGGTGTATGTCTTATGATGTTTTTTTATGAAACTGTATGAAAGTCTTGTTGAGCCGGTAATGATCTATGGCTCTGGTATATGAGGATAAAACGTTAATCTAATCCAAAATAGAGCCGGTAAATTATTTCTTGGTGTTAGTAACGGTACCTCCATGTATAGCCACTAATGGAGACATGGGTCTCTCCTCCCCGTTTGTTACATTACATGCTAATGTTTTTAGACTACCCCAAGATTTAATAACAGTACTTGTAACGCTTTGATGAAGAAAATGGTTACTATGTAAAAGTACTAAAGTTGTTAAAATTGCCTGTAATCTTAATATTTATGATGTTATGAATATTATGACTGCTCCAATGTCCCGAAAGAAGAAAATTGCCCATATTAAAAACGTTCTCGTAAACAAAGATGAACTGAGCTGGAGAACAGAGCTTTGGAACGATAAACATCAATGTTTAAAACTACTTTCAACTACTTGTTGCTGGCGTACGCATTTTATATTGATCAAACTGTTATTAAGATCTGTAAAACATAACGAAATACAAATTATTTCATAACATCATATAGTTGTCATAATGAAAATAGTATTAAAGCATTATTGTCACATGCAATAATTATACTGTTCGGTATCATTAGTAAACTTTGCAACCACATATTATGTGAAACATTCTATAAGAGGTGAGGAAATTGAATGAAGCAGTGGTAAAATCTAACCATATATACAAAATTGTATATTTTGGAAATACCAACTATACAAAATTGTATATTTTGGAAATATCAAATATACAAAATTGTATATTTTGTATATATGGGTATTTTTTCTTGTGCATCTATAAGTATGTACAAAACAAATTACTTCGGTAAATACTGTTTCAGATTATTCGCCTTGCCCAGCAGCATGAAATATAGTCGCAGTAAAATGAAACAGAAAAAATAAACGTATGGTTTCCTTGGGTTTAGTCCAGTGGTGAGAGTGTCAGCTCGTCACGCTGAGAGACTGGGTTCCATTGAGACACATGGGCACAATGTAATGTTGGTGTCCCTCGAGGGGATAATGCGTGAATAAGGGAAAAAGTTGCGTAAAACAAGACCCCAGGTTTTCACCAAAAGGACATTCTGCTGAAGAGAAAATCAGTTACAGTGGTTACATATTAGATGTCATCCTGGGAAAGGTTTTGACTTCAGATATCATATGATGAGTTTCTGCCCTTGTTTCAACAGTGCACTGAGCTGAATTTCGACTTTGCGGACATCACCCTGAACGAGATTAAACGTGTGCAAAACCCGCAAGACAAAATACTACGAGGGAAAATCCCAGCAATAACAGAAGGTAAGCCTTGTCTGGCTGGAACAACTTATTTATATACACAAAGGCAAAGTCGTCTAAGGCGCCGCAATGCTACGTGTATGTTCACAGTTTCTTCTTTTTGGTGTGCCAGAAACCAAGACCTAGAGTTCTAATCCCAGATCGGCTCGGATTATCTCTCTAAATTTGTTAGCACCATACCCGAGTTACACTAAAGTGGTAGGGACGGTCGGGTAGCCTAGTGGTAAAAGCGTTCGCTCGTCATGCCGAAGACCCGGGTTCGATTCCCGTCATGGGTACAATGTGTGAAGCCCATTTCTGGTGTCCCCCGCCGTGATATTGCTGGAATATTGCTAAAAGCGGCGTAAAACCAAACTCACTCACTCACTAAAGTGCTAAATATCTAAGACCTGCGTCACTTTGGGTTTTCCTCCCACATCAAGCTGACAGGCTGCGATATAACTGGAATACTGATCTTTCATTTTCTCCCTTGAAGATCCAAGGTAGAATTGGTCAGAAAGAGGCGAATGACGGGAACGGGAACGGACTATCTGACTTTACTGATGCATGTCATCGTATCCCAATTGCGTAGATCAATGCTCATGATATCAATCACTGGATTATGTTGTCCAGACTCGATTATTTACAAAACTCTGTCATGTAGCTGGAATATTACTGAGTGCGTTGTTAGAAAATAAACAAAATTAATAAGTTTAGCTGTGATAAAAATAGCCTTTACAAACAAAAAACCTCCAACCAAAGCTACCGATTTCATGTTGTTTGTAACTTGGCTCGTTACGCCGAGCACCCGGGTTCGATTCCCGACATGGGTACAATGTGTGAAGCCCATTTCTTGTGTCCCCCGCCATGATATTGCTGGAATATTGCAGGAATATTGCTAAAAGCGGCGTAAAACCATACTCACTCACTCACTCACTTGTAACTTGACACATAATGTATCTCACCCGTGAAGATCCGGACTAAAATAGGTCTTCAGCAACCCATGCTTGTCGTAAGAGGCGACTAACGGGATCGGGTGGGCAGGCTCGTTGACGTTGTTGATGTATGTCATCGTATCCCAATTCCGTGGATCGATGGTCATGATGTCAATCACCAGATTTTCTGGTCCAGACTCAAATATTTACAGACCGCCGTCATATAGCTGGAATATTGCTGAGTGCGGCGTTAAACAACAAACAAACAAACATAATGTATACACAAAAGGAGTTTGATTGGACGTTGTAATAAGCTATTTAATATAGCGAAAGGGTCCACGTTATGTATCATAAGGGAATTTCTTTTTCAGAAATTGTTTAATCGATTAGGTGAACATACGCCACTGTACACTAGCGTCGTGGAATGGTACTTTTAACGCTCGCCCTTGTTGAGAATGCCAATGCAACTCTGATTCCATTATGTTTATTGCAGATGAAATACGAGATGTGCTGCATGGATGGACCATAAACGAGATCTCGCCCTTAGACGATATCGGGGAGGAGCGGCCCGAGACTTACAACTATGCGCAAGCAGGCCGCTTGTACGAGAGCTTCCGGCGGAAGAAACGACGCCAGCCCAAGGCAAGTGACAGTTCGGAAGCAGCGGGAGAGAAACCCGATGATAAAATACGCATGCACAGTGTAACAAGTGCTAAAGGCGACAGCGTAGACATTAGGCAAGTTGAAACCTCGTTCGTGGAGGATGACGGTGGTTTTAGCTCAGCCAGACGCAACGTGCACTCTGACACCAGACAGCCTGTCCGACCTCAGAGAAGGGGAGATAATTACCAACCTCGCGTGCAGGAGAAAAGAGAACAGGGCTACGGGAATGGTCATCTATATCCCGACATCACTGTAGTGGACAATAATCGGGGTCGAACGTCGTCCAGCGACAGCTACTACAACATAAGTCCAGGTCCTGGTGTGGCCAAACCGTTTGACCAAATCCCCCACAGGGATAGTGACCGGTCCTCTCACTCCACAGGGGGAGCCGACAGCGGCTACTCGGGGGCTGATGATGATGGCTTCAGTGGTTACTATGGCAACCGGAGGCAAGATGGCCACCGGAAGCCAAATGAGCCTATGAGGGAGAGCGGCGGTCGTCATTATGATCCAATGGACAAATACGGAAACACGCCGACGCAGAGAGCTCATGAGAATCACGGATTCCGCCATGATGATAACGACGATATTATCCGGAAACACAAAGAGTTAGCTTCCAAAACGAAGCCATCCGGTAGATACGACTATGGCGGGAATGGTCAATCGAGGGATGTGTATGATCGCCCAAACAAACAGTACGATGATAGACATGATAATGCCAGATTCGGCCGTTCTCAGAATCATTATGACAATGACCGCGGTGACACCAGGCGGGACTATTACGAACAACGTGACCGGTCGCGCGGTTACAGTAGCGAGCAACCACCGCCAAGTTATAACAACGTGGCCGCACCGGCAGAGGGGCCGGCATTCAGGCTTCACGAGAAGGAAGCGATGGCTGAGAGCTTCATCTGATTCTGAAGGATCGAAGTGAACATTTTGTGGGCAAGTGACGTTGCTTTTTGAGAGGTATAAGCTCCACTGATAATCTATACTACAGGTAGAGCATGGACTAGACAAGGGCATCCGTACCGTATGCAGACTATGTCGACAAGTACGCACGGAGGATCCATTTATTCGTTTATGTAGAATTATACAGCTGAACAAATGTACCTTGTAATGTTAAAGCCACACGAAATTCTCGTTTCTCTTCACCAGTCCACCTAATTTATTTCTTTTTAGACAGCACGCTTTATTCGATACATGTTCCGCATGTTTAGGGTTATTTGCTTTTAAGTTGCACTTTTTGATGTAACCCGTTCTTTCGGCCAGCAGTGCTGTTCGTGATTTCAAATTGGAAAATTCTTTACTTTAGTTTCAGTAAATTATAAGTGTGAAATAAGGTTTGTGTGTTACCGAAATCGAAATGAAATTTAAACCTACTTACCCTATTTTCTTAATACGTCTTGAGAAACAAGTAATATTTTATGTGGCTTTAGTTACTTTCTATTTACATGACTTTCTTTACGATTCATCATATTCATTGCGCATGCTCGGACGGACAGACAGTGGTTGCTCGTCACGCTGAAATCCATGTGTGATTCGCCTATGAGTATGAAGCTCATTCGGGACTTCCGTCGTGAGACTGCTGAATGTGGCGTTAAACGTCCAATTTTCAAAGCTGACACATCGTGTAATTTATGTAGCTGTGTTCCTGGTGCCCATTCTCATCACCTGGGCCGCCACCACAAAGCCAGCTTAGCACTAAGATCATAACTGGGTGCTTTATCATTAACCCAGGCGTAGAGCTAAGATCGCTTTGTGGAACGGTTCATGGTTATTTATGGCTCTCAGAGACTTGTTCACCACTCGTAATAGTTTCTGGAACGAAACCCACAAACTCAGCATCGTAAGGCAATATAGTTTTGTTATGTAGTTTGCTTTCATGAAACTTGGATTGATTAACATTTCCACGGAAACATAATTCGAACACCGTCCAAAATCTTGTCTTCTTCAGAAAGATCTGTGAAACCTTTAAATGTGATTGTGTCCTAGTACCCATGTTCAGTCAATGCATGTAATTAGTGGCATTTGTAAAACGGAGATAGTTTGTCTCTTGTAATAACTGCACGATTAATACACTGTAAACTTCGATGACAATGAGGTGATTGTGATCAAACTGATTGCGAGATGGCCCCTGTCAAGATCCCATGTAAATGTAAAACGTCAGAGGGACATAATGGTGTGAGTTATACGAATGATAACAGAAAGTCGGTGATGACACCAGGGCCCACATGCACAAAGCGATCTTAGCGCCAAGATGATCGTAACTCCCATACTTTAACATAGGCTTACAATAGTCTTAGCGCTAAGATCACTTTGTGCAAGTGGGCCCAGGTGTTCGCCACAAGGGTAAGCATATATTGCCTTACCGTTAGCACCAGCCTCTCCAAAGTTGGTTGGTTGTCGGAAGCTGCACAGCGTTACTGTAATTACACTTGCCATCTTTAAATTTGATATGGTGCTTTTCAACCGCGAGACCCAGCGGTTTTAGTCTTGTGGTGAAGCGAGACCACTGTACTTCCAGAATAGGTACCTCTGATATCTGTACATAGTCCTTGTTGTGAAACCAAGTATACCTGAAAGTGCTGTTCACGTGTCTTATATCTGTAATAAGAGCCTTGTCTCTCGGGTGCTTTTACCAACATGTCGTATTCACGCACCTCCGTCAACCAGCTGGGCCCGGCTGTACAAATCGATCTTTGTGCTAATACTGTTTCAAAGTTAACTAAGATGGCTTAATGAAACCGGGTCCTGGGGTGAATATATTTCGGAACAATTCCCCAACCCCCAAACCGTCACCGTTTGTCTCAGTATTTCGGGCGTGTGTGAAGGATGTGTCCTGGGTTTCAGACTGTGGATAATTGAATCAATTATACTGTTGTATGATATTGTATGTCAAATGTTTCTTATAACCGTGTGACCCAATCCTCCAAGATTCCCTTGTTTATAGGTTTGTCAGCGCCTTACCGGTGTTTGTGGGTTTAACCAAAATGGTAAACGTCTAAACCTGCATCACTTGTGTGTGTGTGTGTGTGTGTGTGTGGGGGGGGGGGGGGGGGGCTTTCCTCCCACATCCAGCGGACAAGACGTGATATAACCGGAGTACTGTTCAAAGGGGCGATAACTCAAACTCGCTTATACCGAACCTGGTTGTCCAGCACACGGGCTCTGCAGATAGTCCGACTTTCCATGGACTTTATATACACGAAACAACCTATAACGAATTTTGTCTTCCATATTCCAAAAAGTCCTGCCGATCATGTTTTTTTATATAAAAATATCTTCCCCTCCCTCCCCGAAAGTCAAATCAGTCTATAGCCAACTTCCAAACCAAACTGGTTGTTTGGGTTTTTAAATGATTAAAATTAATGGACCTGAAATTGATTTCTCCCCATTTTTCCGTTATCGCTTTTCGTCCAGCAAAATTCTGAATCTATGCAAATGATGACCTGAGGTCTCTGTGATGTGCAAGGCGCCAGACTGGCACCAGTTTTATGGCACCATGTCGTCGAAGATGGGACATCGCAGAGTGTATATACTTGTCAAGTATTTATCCTAAGCACTTATGCTTTCCTAATTGACTGTAAATTGCAATTGAAAGTATTTCATATGATGTTGAAATCCTGTTGTTTTGAAATCAGCAAAAAATCAAAACGGTGTCTGTCATCAGGGACCATGAAATAGATCTATTTTAGCTTCTCTGCTGTGATGAATTATTTGTGACCGGACATACACCACATGGAAAGGTTAAGAACCAACCGATGTTTTTCATATTACTATGCTTAATATGCCATGCCATGGCTGATAACTATAGTAATATGACAAATTGGTGGTTCTTTACCTTTTAGTAGTATAATTGTGAACGAGGCTTCGATAAGAAAGTTCAAGAACCTACATGTCTTATTGATGTGGGGCACTGTTTATCTCACTGACACCACGTGGAGGGACATATAGTAGGCTCTATCGGTCAGGGAGACGTGATAACGAGTATAGCGTATATCCACATTTGTAGATAGGGGAGCAGGTCAATGTCACCTTCTGCAATGATGTTTTAGCCCACATCCCAGAGACGTCTTTGTCAAGCGAATCCAGCATAAAGTTGGTGATGCGCAGAGCTTTCGAAAATTTCAAGTTAACAACTTTTAATATTCAACACGTTTTAATACCAACGATTGACATGCCGTTCATTTTCGGAGTAAAATATGACAGAGTTGTTACTTGTTGACTTGAATTTATAAATCCCTTGAAAAGTTTATTTTGTCTAATACAAAATACGCAGACCTGTGACCTTAAAATAATTAATATTTATCCGACATCCAACAGCTCCCTTTGACTACCATGCATCTTCACGAGGAAAGGGAGTTAACTGACCATAAAAGACCAGTCTTCTAGAAACTTAACGTTTATAGTAAGTTACTTCCCTTGCGTCGGAAAGATGACGACCAAGTAGTTCAGTGGTGGCTGTCTTGAATGTGCTTGTACAGTTATTTGGTTACTATTTATTAGCATAATGCCCTCCCTGTAGCTTGTGATAGAGTAGTTTACGAATACAATTTAGAGTGTATATTTTGAACTACAACTGTTAAATTCATCCAATGTAGATTCATCATAGGCTGACAGAACACAGATCAGCCTACTCAGGAATGCCTACTCGAGATCCTTTATGAAACGCGATTTCTTGAACAGTGTACAGGACTGTACTGCTCAACGTTTGTTAGGGGATAAGCAGATGTGTTATTCGATCTACATATACACTTGACTCATACTACTCAAAAGAAGTTAAAGAATACTCATTTTTTCATAGACTAGACAATCTGTCACAGCCTTCAAATTGTTGGCGTTCATAACTTGTTTTGAGTATTATATGATGAGAATTAGTTTTGGGTATCATTGAAATATAAAAATATGCCTATAAAAGTGGAGTAGATATTATCTATACATAATCCTGCTTTCCCTTTGGGATGACGTAAGATGTAATTTCTTCCACTCTCTTTGTAATAAGTACTGGTATTTCAAGTGGCCTGCGGCTGCTCGCGTGGGATGGAAACAAAGGCTTTTCAATCACAGGGATGTAAAATTCCACCTACCTATGTTGTTGTGTATATACAGTGTTCAGTGGGGTCAGTTATTTTTTCGAATGATACAGAAATGCGACAAATGACACTGTCGAGACAATTGTACATTTCATTCCATAACCATTATGGTTATTACAAATCATATTTTTACATACATATTTGTAAATTTAGACAATAAATTAAATAATATCAGAGCAGTGTTCGAGTTTGTTTTCGCCAACGTGTCATGGCGTTTGCAGCCGGGAACCACGACCGTCAGGACAAGAAACTGAACGACAGGTTGGTCTTCAACAACCCAAGTTATTTATACTTAAAAGGCACAGTTTCACCTAAGTGATACATATGTTTTGTTTGTTTCCTTGCTTGTTTGTTTGTCGTTTAACATCGCACTCTGCAATATTCCAGCTATATAACGGCGGTCTGTAAATAATCGAGTCTGGACCAGACAATCCAGTGATTGATATCATGAGCATCGATCCACGCAATTGGGATACGATGACATGCATCAACCAAGTCAGGTACATATCTAAGACCTGCGTCACTTTGGGCTCCCACATCAAGCAGACAGACAACTTTAATACTGATCTTTTATTTTCTCCTGTTTCGGGTTAGAATTAGTCAGAAAGAGGCAACTAACGGGATCGGGTGGTCAGGCTCGCTGACTTGGTTAATGAATGTCATCGTACCTCAGTTGCGTGGATCGATGCTCATTATGTCAATCACTGGTCTGGTCCATACTCAATCATTTACAGACCACCGTCATATACATGATACAGCTGGAATATTGCTAAGTGCGTCGTTAAACAACATGCAAACAAAACTTTGGACGGTTCACTCATACATCGTGGTTAAACTCGGTTTCTAAATCTACTCCACTGACAGATTACGTCTTAAACATCCTATAATTTAAGAATGACATTATGTGATAAAGAGATTATTTGCCCAGTGAGTTTCCACATTGTCAATATATACACGGAATAAACAAAACATACATTCCCAACAATGAAGTGGAAGATAATCTCTATATGCAAAGTGTCAGATTTTGTTCAGCGTTCAACAACAAACGAACGTGGGTGAGGGGTTAAGTCGGGTGTAATGTCGGGATAAAGTCGGAAGTAAAGTCGGGGTAAAGTCGGGAGTAAAGTCGGAAGTAAAGTCGGGGTTAAGTCGGGAGTAAAGTCGGGGTTAAGTCGGGAGTAAAAATCGGGAGTAAAGTCGGGGAGTTAAGTCGGGAGTAATGTCGGGGTTAAGTCGGAAGTAAAGTCGGGAGTGAAAGTCAGGAGTAAAGTCGGGGTAAAGTCGGGAGTTAAGTCGGGAGTAAAGTCGGAAGTAATGTCGGGAGTAAAGTCGGGAGTAACGTCGGGAGTAAAGTCGGGAGTAACGTCCGGATTAATGTCGGGAGTAAAGTCGGGATTAAAGTCGGGGGTAAAGTCGGAGGGTAACGTCGGGGGTAAAGTCGGGAGTAAAGTCGGGAGTAAAGCCGGGTGTAAAGTCGGGTGTAAAGTCGGGAGTAAAGTCGGGAGTTAAGTCGGGAGTAACGTCGGAGGTTAAGTCGGGAGTGAAAGTCAGGAGTAAAGTCGGAAGTAAAGTCGGGAGTTAAGTCGGGAGTAACGTCGGAGGTTAAGTCGGTGTTAAGTCGGGAGTAACGTCGGGAGTAAAGTCGGGAGTAACGTCCGGATTAATGTCGGGAGTAAAGTCGGGATTAAAGTCGGGGGTAAAGTCGGGGGTAAAGTCGGGAGTAAAGTCGGGAGTAAAGCCGGGTGTAAAGTCGGGTGTAAAGTCGGGAGTAAAGTCGGGAGTAAAGCCGGGTGTAAAGTCGGGGGTAAAGTCGGGAGTAAAGCCGGGTGTAAAGTCGGGTGTAAAGTCGGGAGTAAAGTCGGGATTGCTCGCCTTCTTCATCTGCCAAAAATCGTCGTCCAGCGGAATCTTTCGAATCCTGGAAATAGCAAAAGACTTCATGAATGGTAATACAAGAGGACTCGGGGAAAGACAGGTACAGTCCATGTGCAAACAAATTATAATTATAAATATTGCAGATGTGTATTATGAATACCCTGTATCTCCTCCGACCAGAGACCGCCTCCGTGGTCTAGTGGTAGAGGGCGGAAGGTCCGAGGGTCCATTCCCCGGCCGGTTCGCCCCGATTATGTTTCTAGGTTTGTCAGCACCATACCCGTGCTCGTGGGTTTCACCGAAGTGGTAAACGTCTGTGACCTGCATCACTTCGGGCTTTCCTCCCACATTAAGCTGACACGCCGTGATATAACTGGAAAACTGTTAATAGCGGCGTTAAACCAAACCCACTCACTCATTACCTTTGAGGATAAGACTTGTACGTCAAAGTTCTGGTGTTGAATGAGTCAAATTATACAAACACAACCAGGTGAATTCGGGAATATATGGACTTATTTCTCAGTTTTGTGTTTCAGGGTTACTTTTGTTTTGACGTTGTATCATTTGTAGTCATACCGAAAATGTAAATGGTTTCAGTATCGATATTTGTGTTGGAACAGAAAATATAGTGTTGTGATCCATTGCATATTCTCACCATGAGAGCTCCGTTTCACACCAGTCATGATCTAGCTCTATGACGTGCGGAGTTATGCCCCTTTCTTCGTGCTGCGTTGAGACTTGTTCTCGCCACTCGAATTAGTCCCGCAACTTGACTGTGGAATACATGTATTTTATGAAAACAAAACCAGTCTAGATTTATATAAAAACAAGTCCACCATCTCTCGCCAGCTCTATTCCACATACTCCATATGAAATCAGCATCAGGAATTAATTAATGGTATTAATTGTAGAGGCGAGAATATATTGTATGATAAAAGATGTCACGACTATATGTTAGTCTACACTTGAAACAGAATCAGGAAATACCGTGATGATTGAATAATGAAGACAACTGCATGTGTGCTAATACTGATAAAGTGAAAGCAAGCCATTCCGGCGATTGGGCATATTAATGACTTACAGTAATCACCCAAAAATGCAAAGTGAGCTTTTCCAGAAAAATCTATTTGAGAAGCGATTAACATCCTTATTGAATTTTGTTCCCGTGCTTACAATCCGACTGAGTGCCTGGCAATGAACTTGGTCAGAAGTGCTGTAAATACTGCATGTGCACCAGTTTTGTTTTATTTCAGTCCAAGCTGGTAATGAACAATGATGGAGGTATGCTGCATACGCTTCTAAATATAGCCGATCGCTGTCACCTGACTACAGATTCTTACCCCAATTGAAGCCTCTAAATCGAAATTCAAAGATAACGTTTTTCCGCTAGCACATAATAATTATTAACAACAAAACAATGTTTACAGATATGACAAATTAGAATCATTATATACGTGATGTCTTATCTTAAAATGTATTTTAGGAGATGTTTATAAAGTCGAATTTGCGACGTCCAGAAAACTTAGAAGTTTATTGAACAGGCTTATGCTTTCCGCGAACAGATTTTCAGTGATCCATTCACATCACTGTAACCGCTATTTTGACTTTTACGTCCAATGGAATCTGTTTCGGCCGATAATCGAGACTGGTTATTCTCTGGCGTTGACGTTTTATATTTACTTGCAATACTGACAGAATGTACCATAATGCTACCTTAGTAATTTGTCCTCAGGGATTCAATAATATTTTTTAATACAAACACCTAAAATCCATTGAGGAAAACTTTTTTGTTTAATGACATGACTATATGGTACAGATACAAAGGCCGATACAGCTTTCGGAAAAAGGGACGAAGCGTTTTGTGATTTGCCTCGTTCAATAATCTAATTTCTTTTTCCATACTGGTTGTACGCGGTACCAGTCAGTCAATGTGCAGTGTTTGCTAGAAGCTGGGCCCCGTCTCTTCATATCCCAAGTTGACGCGCATAGAGAGCCGGGAACCAGTTCATTTTTTCTAATCTATAATAACAGCCAATGGAATAAATTATTGATATTCGCTGCGGGACGAAGCTATAAATAGCTTTGGAATTCCCGTTTTCGACTTTTCGTTTAAGAACACCGAGCAATTAGTCAGTACACGAACACAAACTCACGAAATACCTTTGACTAGCAGGAAGAGGAGGAGAATTGATAGGATAGGATCATAATGAAGATGGGTCGGCAACTTATTGTTGCTGTAGGTCTGTCAAGGCGCTAAAAGTGAAAGTGAAAGTACGATTACTGAGTGACTACTAGCACCACAAGAGGTGTCAGTCAGGAAGCTGTTTCAAGTATCTGCCCTCAGCCACGTTTACTTCTCAACTTGCTAAAGACTTGCAGGGTGTTCCGTAACGTCTTGCGTGGTGAGTGTGTTCAGTAGTATGTATGTAATCACACACATGTACACAAAAAGGTGCTAAATAATGGTCATGTGTATATATTACTTAATATATAGCAATGTATGGTCTCTCTGACTTCGTCAAAGAGATATTGAAAAAACAAGCCATGACATCAAACGAAACGTTATTATCCCCTGCCAAACAAAGTTGGCGAGGTATATGGAAATGGGCTCCGTCCGTCCGTTCGTCCGTCACGTTTCGTTTCCGGAGCATAACTCAGAAACCGTTCGATATTTTGTCATCAAATTCGCAGGTCTGTCAAGTACATGCTGAACTGGTGCCTTTTGCTATTCAGAAATTTTAGAAATTTTATTTTTTTACGTTTCCATGGCAACAAGATGGACTTATGTTCTGTGAGGGTAGGGTTCGTTTCCGAAGCATAACTCATAAACCGTTCAATATTCTTTCATGAAACTTTGCAGGTTTGTCAGGTACATACTGAACTGGTGCCTTTTGCTATTTAGAATTTTTTTTTAAATATATATTTTTACGTTTCCATGGCAGCGAGATGGATTAGGTTCCAAACTCTTCTTTTTTTTACAATTTCCATAACAAGTTCCACCTCGGTTAAAAAAGGTTAGGTTTTTTTTATTTAATTATGTCATAAATTCTGCAACAGGGGCGGGGGATATAGCCACGTTAGTGGCAAACTCTTGTTTTATTTTCTGTAATTCATTACTTTTGAGGGGGGCACGGGTGGCCCAGTCGTCTAATGCGCCGCGATTCGCTGTGCAGTGTTTCGTTTCTTGGGCAGCCAGAAACCTATGATTGTGGGTTCGAATCCCGGTTCGCCCTGATTATGTTTCTAGGTTTGTCAGCACCATACCCGTGCTCGTGGGTTTCACCGAAGAGGTAAACGTGTGAGACCTGCATCACTTCAGGCTTTCCTCCCACATTAAGCTGACACGCCGTGATATAACTTGAAAACTGTTAAAAGTGGCGTTAAACCAAACTCACTCACTCACTCATTTACTTTGAGGATGTACCCCAAAATTCTGGTGTTAAATGAGTCTGATTATACCTACACAATCAGGTGAATTCGGGAATATATGGACTTATTTCTCAATGTATGTGTTTCAGGGTTACTTTTGTTTTGACGTTGTATGATTTTGAGGCCATACCGAAAATGTAAATGGTTTCAGTATCGATATTTGTGTTGCAACAGAAAATATAGTGTTGTGATCCATAGCATTTTCTCACCATGAGAACTCCGTTTCACACCAGTCATGATCTAGCTCTATGGCGTGCGGAGTTATGCCCCTTTCTTCGTGCTGCGTTGAGACTTGTCCTCGCCACTCGAATAAGACCCGCAACTTGACTGTGGAATATATGTATTTTATGAAAACAAAGCCAGTCTAGATTTATATAAAAGCAAGTCCAACCATCTCTAGCCAGCTCTCTTCCACAAATTCCATATGAAATCGATATCGGGAATTAATTAATGGCATTAATTGTAGAGGCGAGAATGTATTATGTAATAAAAGATGTCACCGACTATATGTTAGTCTACACTTGAAACAGAATCAGCAAATACCGCGATGATTGAATAATGAAGACAACTGCATGTGTGCTAATACTGATAAAGTTGAAACAAACCATTCCGGCGATAAGGAATATTAATTACTTACAGTAATCACAAAAATGCAAAGTGAACTTTTCCAGAAAAATCTATTTTAGAAGCGATAAACATCCTTATTGAATTTTGTTCCCGTGCTTACAATCCGACTGAGAGCCTGGCAATGAACTTGGTCAGTAGCGCTTAAAATACTGCATGTGCACCAGTTTTGTTTTATTTCAGTCCATGCTGGTAATGAACAATGATGGAGGTATGCTGCATACGCTACTAAATATAGCCGATCGCTGTCACCTGACTACACATTCCTACCCCAATTGAAACCTCTAAATCGAAATTCAAAGATAAAGTTTTTCCACTAGCACATAATTATTAACAACAAAACAATATTTACAGATAGGACAAATTAGAATCATTACATACGTGATGTCTTATCTTAAAATGTATTTTAGGAGATATTTATAAAGTCAAATTTGCGATATCTAGAAAACTTAGAAGTTAATTGAACATGCTTATGCTTTCCGCGAACAGATATTCAGTGATCCATTCACATCACTGTAACCGCCATTTTGACTTTTACGTCCAATGGAATCTGTTTCGGCCGATAATCGAGACTGGTTATTCTCTGGCGTTGACGTTTTATATTTACTTGCAATACTGACAGCATGTACCATAATGCTACCTTAGTAATTTGTCTTTAGGGATTCAATAACATTGTTTTAATACAAACACCTAAAATCCATTGAGGAACACGTTTTTGTTTAATGACACGAATATAAAGTACAGAATCAAACGCCGATATAGCGAAGCGTTTTGTGATTTGCCTCCTTCAATAATCTAAGTTCTTTTTCCATACTGGTTGTACCGGGTACCAGTCAATTTGCAGTGTTTCTAGAAGCTGGGCCCCGTCTCTTCATAGCCCAAGTTGATGCGCATAGAGAGCCGGGAACCAGTTCAAGTTTGCTAATCTATAATAACAACCAATGGAATAAATTATTGATATTCGCTGCGGGACGAAGCTATAAATAGCTTTGGAATTCCCGTTTTCGACTTTTCGTTGAAGAACACCGAGCAATTGGTCAGTACACGAACACAAACTCACGAAATACCTTTGAATAGCAGGAAGAGGAGAGGAATTGATATGATAGGATCATAATGAAGATGGGGCGGCAACTTATTGTTGCTGTAGGTCTGTCAAGGCGCTGAAAGTGAAAGTGAAAGTATGATTACTGAGTGACTACTAGCACCACAAGAGGTGTCAGTCAGGAAGCTGTTTCAAGTATCTGCCCTCAGCCACGTTTACTTCTCAACTTGCTAAAGACTTGCAGGGTGTTCCGAAACGTCTTGCGTGGTGAGTGTGTTCAGTAGTATGTATGTAATCACACACATGTACACAAAAAGGTGCTAAATAATGATCATGTGTATATATTACTTAATATATAGCAATTAATGTGTGGTCTCTTTGACTTCGTCATAGAGATATTGAAAAAAACAAGCCATGACATCAAACAAAACGTTATTATCGGTCCGTCCGTTCGTCCGTCACGTTTCATTTCCGGAGCATAACTCAGAAACCGTTCGATATTTTGTCATCAAATTTGCAGGTCTGTCAAGTACATGCTGAACTGGTGCCTTTTGCTATTTAGAAATTTTAGGAATTTTATTTTTTTACGTTTCCATGGCAACAAGATGGTTATAGGTTCTGTGAGGGTAGGGTTCGTTTCCGGAGCATAACTCATAAACCGTTCAATATTTTTTCATGAAACTTTGCAGGTTTGTCAGGAACATGCTGAACTGGTGCCTTTTGCTATTAAACTATTTTAGAAATTTTTATTTCTTACGTTTCCATGGCAACAAGATGGACTTGGATTCCGAACTCTTCTTGTTTTTAAAATTTACATGACAAGTTCTACCTCGGTTAAAAAAGTTAGGGTTTGTTTAGATTTAATTATGTCATAAATTTTGCAACAGGGGCGGGGGATATAGCCACGCTGGTGGCAAACGTTTGTTATATTTTCTGTAATTCATTATCTTTGAGGGGGGCACGGGTTGCCCAGTGGTCTAAGGTGCCGCGATTCCCTGTGGAGAGTTGCGCCCCTTGGACATGCCAGAAACCTATGATTGTGGGTTCGAATCCCGGTTCGCCCCAATTATGTTTCTAGGTTTGTCAGCACCATACCCCTGCACTTTGGTTTCAACGAAGTGGTAAACGTCTGAGACGTGCATTACTTCGGGCTTTCCTCCAACATTAAGCTGACACGCCGTGATATAACTGGAGAACTGTTTAAAGCGTGTTAAACCAAACTCACTCACTCACTCATTACCTTTAAGGATTAGACTTGCACGCCAAATTTCTGGTGTTAAATCAGTCAAATTATACCTACACAATCAGGTGAATTCGGGAATATATGGACTTATTTCTCAGTTTATATGTTTCAAGGTTACCTTTCTTTTGACGTTGTATGATTTGTGGTCATACCAAAAATGTAAATGGTTTCAATATCGATATTTGTGTTGGAACAGAAAATAGAGTGTTATGATCCATAACATATTCACACCAGTCGTGCTCTAGGCCTATGTCGTGCGGAGTTATGACCCTTTCTTCGTGTTGCGTGGAGACTTGTCCTCGCCACTCGAATTAGTCCCGCACTTTGACTGTGGAATATATGTATTTTATGAAAACAAAACCAGTCTAGATTTATATAAAAGCAAGTCCAACCATCTCTCGCCAGCTCTACTCCACATATTCCATATGAAATCAGCATCAGGAATTAATTAAAGCTATTATTTGTTGAGGCCAGAATGTATTGTGTAATAAAAGATGTCACTGACTATATGTTAGTCTACACTTGAAACAGAATCACGAAATAGCGCGATGATTGAATAATGAAGACAACTGCGTGTGTGCTAATACTGATTAAGTTGAAACAAACCATTCCGGCGATAAGGAATATTAATTAATTACAGTAATGACAGAAATTGGAAAGTGAGCTTTTCCAGAAAAATCTATTTTAGGAGCGATAAACATCCTCATTGAATTTTGTTCCCGTGCTTACAATCCGACTGAGTGCCCGGCATTGAACTTGGTCAGTAGCGCTTTGAGTACTGCATGTGCACCAGTTTTGTTTTATTTCAGTCCATGCTGGTAATGAACAATGATGGAGGTATGCTGCATACGCTACTAAATATGGCCGATTGCTGTCACCTGACTACACATTCCTACCCCGATTGAAGCTTCTAAATCGAAATTCAAAGATAACGTTTTTCCGCTAGCACATAATTATTAACAACAAAACAATATTTACAGATAAGACAAATTAGAATCATTACATACGTGATGTCTTATCTTAAAATGTATTTTAGGAGATGTTTATAAAATCGAATTTGCGATATCTAGAAAACTTAGAAGTTAATTGAACATGCTTATGCTTTCCGCGAACAGATATTCAGTGATCCATTCACATCACTGTAACCGCCATTTTGACTTTTACGTCCAATGGAATCTGTTTCGGCCGATAATCGAGACTGGTTATTCTCTGGCGTTGACGTTTTATATTTACTTGCAATACTGACAGCATGTACCATAATGCTACCTGATTAATTTGTCCTTAGGGATTCAATATTTTTTTTAATATAAACACCTCAAATCCACTGAGGAACACTTTTTTGTTTAATGACACGACTATATGGTACAGATCCAAACGCCGATACAGCTTTCGGAAAAGGGGGCGAAGCGTTTTGTAATTTGCCTCGTTCAATAATCTAATTTCATTTCCCATACTGGTTGTACCCGTTACCAGTCAGTCAATGTGCAGTGTTTGCTAGAAGCTGGGCCCCGTCTCTTCATATCCCAAGTTGACGCGCATAGAGAGCTGGGAACCAGTTCAGCTTTGCTAATCTATAATAACAACCAATGGAATAAATTATTGATATTCGCTGCGGGACGAAGCTATAAATAGCTTTGGAATTCCCGTTTACGACTTTTCGTTTAAGAACACCGAGCAATTGGTCAGTACACGAACACAAACTCACGAAATACCTTTGAATAGCAGGAAGAGGAGAGGAATTGATATGATAGGATCATAATGAAGATGGGTCGGCAACCTATTGTTGCTGTAGGTCTGTCAAGGCGCTGAAAGTGAAAGTGAAAGTACGATTACTGAGTGACTACTAGCACCACAAGAGGTGTCAGTCAGAAAGCTGTTTCAAGTATCTGCCCTCAGCCACGTTTACTTCTCAACTTGCTAAAGACTTGCAGGGTGTTCCGTAACGTCTTGCGTGGTGAGTGTGTTCAGTAGTATGTATGTAATCACACACATGTACACAAAAAGGTGCTAAATAATGGTCATGTGTATATGTTACTTAATATAGCAATGTATGGTCTCTCTGACTTCGTCAAAGAGATATTGAAAAAACAAGCCATGACATCAAACAAAACGTTATTATACCCCGCCCAACAAAGTTGGCGGGGGGGGGGGGGGGGGGGGGGGGGGGATATAGAAACGGGCTCCGTCCATCTGTCCGTCACGTTTCGTTTCCGGAGCATAACTCAGAAACTGTTCGATATTTTGTCATCAGATTTGCAGGTCTGTCAAGTACATGCTAAGTGGTGCCTTTTGCTATTTAGAAATTTTAGAAATTTTATTTTTTACGTTTCCATGGCAACAAGATGTTTATAGGTTCTGTGAGGGTAGGGTTCGTTTCCGGAGCATAACTCATAAACTGTTCAATATTTTTTCATGAAACTTTGCAGGTTTGTCAGATACATGCTGAACTGGTGCCTTTTGCTATTAAAATATTTTAGAAATTTTTATTTCTTACGTTTCCTTGGCAACAAGATGGACTTGGGTTCCAAACTCTTCTTTTTTTACAATTTCCATAACAAGTTCCACCTCGGTTAAAAAAGGTTAGGGTTAGTTCAGATTTAATTATGTCATAAATTTTGCAACAGGGGCGGGGGATATAGCCACGTTAGTGGCAAACTTTTGTTATAATTTCTGCAATTCATTATCTTTGAGGGGGACACGGTTGGCCCAGTCGTCTAAGGTGCCGTGATTCGCTGTGGAGAGTTGCGCCCCTTGGACACGCCAGAAACTTATGATTGTGGGTTCGAATCCCGTTTCGCCCCGATTATGTTTCTAGGTTTGTCAGCACCATACCCGTGCACTTGGGTTTCAACGAAGTGGTAAACGTCTGAGACCTGCATCAGTTCGGGCTTTCCTCCCACATTAAGCTGACAGGCCGTGATATAACTGGAGAACTGTTAAAAGCAGTGTTAAACCCAACTCACTCACTCACTCATTACCTTGCACGCCAAATTTCTGGTGTTCAATGAGTCAAATTATACCTACACAATCAGGTGAATTCGGGAATATATGGACTTATTTCTCAGTTTAACTTTTGTTTTGACGTTGTATGATTTGTGGTCATACCGAAAATGTAAATGGTTTCAAAATGGATATTTGTGTTGGAACAGAAAATATAGTGTTGTGATCCATAACATATTCACACCAGTCGTGCTCTAGGCCTATGACGTGCGGAGTTATGCCCCTTTCTTCGTGCTGCCTGGAGACTTGTTCTCGCCACTCGAATTAGTCCCGCACCTTGACTGTGGAATATATGTATTTTAAGAAAACAAAACCAGTCTAGATTTATATAAAAGCAAGTCCAAGCAGCTCTAGCCAGCTCTATTCCACATATTCAATATCAAATCATCATCGGGAATTAATCAATGGTATTAATTGTAGAGGCGAGAATGTATTGTATGATAAAAGATGTCACGACTATATGTTAGTCTACACTTGAAACAGAATCAGGAAATACCGTGATGATTGAATAATGAAGACAACTGCAGATGTGATCATACTGATAAAGTGGAAACAAGCCATTCCCTCGATAAGGAATATTAATTACTTACAGTAATCACAAAAAATGCAAAGTGAGCTTTTCTAGAAAAATCTATTTTAGAAGCGATAAATATCCTCATTGAATTTTGTTCCCGTGCTTACAATCCGACTGAGAGCCTGGCAATGAACGTGGTCAGTAGCGCTTTAAATACTGCATGTGCACGGTTTTGTTTTATTTCAGTCCATGCTGGTAATGAACAATGAAGGAGGTATGCTGCATACGCTTCTAAATATAGCCGATCGCTGTCACCTGACTACAGATTCCTACCCCGATTGAAGCTTCTAAATCGAAATTCAAAGATAACGGTTTTCAGCTGGAACATAATTATTATTAACAACAAAACAATATTTACAGATTAGGGCTTCAACGAGTACTCGAGTACTCGGGGCCGGGTCGGTTTTACTGGGACTCGAGTCCGTTATCAAGGACTCGAGTACTCGATAAGGGGAGATCACTCTGTTTCAATGTTCAATTGTTCATCAGTATATTGATTAAAGCTTCAAAAAATATTGTTTGAATAATGTATTCTTTGTAGATAGTAGATGTACATGAGAACAATTGAGAATGTCACGTAAAATAGACGTAATTATTGTTTTACCTTCCCGACTTTAAGAAATTGAATGTATCAAGGCGATTATTGCTTCTTTGCTCCGACATCAAATGCCAAGTGTATTCCCTTACACAGATAAACAACTGATTAGCTGATATATATGTGTTATTTCAGTGCTTAGAAATCAAGCGACAGGTCGACAGTTTGGTACAGTTTGAAAACGTGACCAACTCATGAATGAACGAACTTATTGTACTACATTTCCATATTTAGCGGCCTTAGTCTTGCAGCCCAGCAGCTGTGTATACGTGTATATCGTGATGCACATTATCGATTTTCTTCCTGCGAATTATTGTTCGTGCTTGTTGGCAGGTGTCGAAAGCTGATCGTCAGAAAAAAACAAACTTGGTTTGTGTTCAATATGTATTGTAGTATTTGTAGACGTGGCGTAATGTTTTTGAAGGTCGTGATTAAGATTAGTGCAGTTACAAGCAAACATTAACACTGATCACTTCCATACACTTTGACAGATAAACAAGTTCCGTGGACGCTCTCTATTTACAGTTCAGTGCAGTTCAATTATACTTATAACATGTTATAATAATTTTAGATGGCAATTTTGATCTAATGAACCAATATTCTTAAAGAGCGTCCTATTTTCGGGTACCCGAGTACGAGTCGAGTTTCACCCCTCGGGTACTCGAGTCCAAAAACTTGGACTCGTGGAAGCCCTATTACAGATATGACAAATTAAAATCATAACATACGTGATGTCTTATCTTAAAATGTATTTTAGGAGATGGTTATAAAGTCGAATTTGCGATATCTAGAAAACTTAGAAGTTTATGGAACATGCTTATGCTTTCCGCGAATAGATTTTCAGTGATCCATTCACATCACTGTAACCGCTATTTTGACTTTTACGTCCAATGGAATCTGTTTCGGCCGATAATCGAGACTGGTTATTCTCTGGCGTTGACGTTTTATATTTACTTGAAATACTGACAGCATGTACCATATTGCTACCTTATTACTTTGTCCTCAGGGATTCAATAATATTGTTTTAATACAAACACCTAAAATCCATTGAGGAACACTTTTTTGTTTAATGACACGAATATATGGTAGAGATCCAAACGCCGATATAGCTTTGGGAAAAGGGGGCGAAGCGTTTTGTGATTTGCCTCGTTCAATAATCTAATTTCATTTTCCATACTAGTTGTACCGAGTACCAGTCAATGTGCAGTGATTGCTAGAAGCTGGGCCCCGTCTCTTCATATCCCAAGTTGACGCGCATAGAGAGCTGGGAACCAGTTCATGTTTGCTAATCTATATTCTACCATGAATTTGGATATTAATCGATTCTGATTGGTCAATCAGAGGCTATTAAATCACACACAAAAAACTCTGATTGAAACAACTGGTTTGACGGCCGCATCACCGCGGAAGCATATATTCATAGAATAGTACTATTTTCAGTCATTGTCGGTAGGCATATTTAAATATATACAATTACAGGTTACAAAATGCAAAGATGAGGTAACTACAATATTCAAAGGATGTGTGGCAATACATTTCGTGTCGAAAAACACGACAGAAATCAACAAAGCAAATGTATTTACGTTTTGGAGACAACAGAGAGCTTGGAATTTGGGCGCTTTTCTATATACGACTGTGACGTCATATTTTTTGCGTCACAATGAGCGATATGACGTCTTATGGTGACGTGCGATGTAGAGCGAAAGCCTTGAAAAGCTTGCTTTGTTTACTTTAGGGAAGCCCACCTCATGTTAGCTTACCAAGTTGCCGTGCTTATATGCTTTCAATGCCTGTCATATGTTCGAGTGAAGTATTACGTGTAAACAAACTGCTTGAGTATATACAGTACCAGATTTTGTTTGGTGATTCCGTAATTCTAATCGATAACCAACTCAAAACACTGAACTCAACCCATGCCGCTTCACTCAGTATATTTGCTAACACCAAAAAGTTCGCGTTTTATTTAGTCATGGTAGAATGGAGATAAACATACTGTTTTCAATGTAGAGCTAGGTTACCTGTAGATTTAACCGCGCTAAATTTAACATTTGAAACCTCACGCTGCGCATTCGGTTCCAAATTCAATTTAGCGGGGTTAAATCTACAGGTAACCTAGCTCTACATTGAAAACACAGTATGTTTATCTCCTAAATAACAGCAAATGGAATAAATTATTGATATTCGCTGCGGGACGATGCTATAAATAGCTTTGGAATTCCCGTTTACGACTTTTCGTTTAAGAACACCGAGAGTAATTAGTCAGTACACGAACACAAACTCACGAAATACCTTTGAAAAGCAGGAAGAGGGAGAGAATTGATATGATAGGATCATAATGAAGATGGGGCGGCACTTTATTTTTGCTGTAGGTCTGTCAAGGCGCTGAAAGTGAAAGTGAAAGTACGATTACTGAGTGACTACTAGCACCACAAGAAGTGTCAGTCAGGAAGCTGTTTCCAGTATCTACCATCAGCCACGTTTACTTCTCAACTTGCTAAAGACTTGCAGGGTGTTCCGTAACGTCTTGCGATGTGAGTGTGTTCAGTAGTATGTTTGTAATAATTTGTTTATATGTTAAATGTCTCTCATAACGCTGAATGGGTGGTCATGTTTTATTTTGTGGTGTTATGTCTTTTGTGACCATGGGTGAGACAAAAATAAACAATTTTTCTTCTTCTTCTTCTGTAATCACCTGGTAATGTGTAGAGTAGGGCTGCAACGAATACACTATGAGGCAAATACGATTCATATCACGAATATAGGGTAACGAATACGAATATTAATTCACAATAACAATAACAAGTCAGCAGTTTATGTTTTATTTATTTTATTCAGTGAACCAATAAAATCATAATTTATTACTTGCCCGTGAAGAGATCACCCGTTTAATAAACATACAGCTTTATTACACATTGTGTAATACCAAAACGCGTGCTTATGTACTCTCGGAACACGTTTCACGAACAAATATTGAAAGCTCTCAACATCCCTTGGCGTATTCAACGACATTGTGTGTGGAGATGATAGATCACTGGGAGGAGCTTATGCACACTCGATGACCCCAGCAACCTTGTTGCTAGGCTGACGTCACATGGCATTGTTTCGCCGATGGAACTTGCAACAAAATTCAACAAATTACGTCATCGGGTATTGTGACGTGATTGTAAACTTTAAGGTGCAAGGCCCCGTTCCACAAGGCGATCGTACTCTAGCGCAACGACAGTCGTTAGTCTAAGTTAAATTATGTGAGTTGTGATAGCCTTAGCACTACGATAATTTTGTGGGACGAACGCCTGAATTCTAAAGGTGGACCATTGTATGATATTAAATTCATACGTTTCAACTTTTGACGTGTTTGAAGTATTATTGTGTTAAACTCAATAGGATTATGCCATGGATCGTGTAGGTGTCAGCCTATTTACACTCAACAGTATAATTCTAAAAACATTATAAATGACAAGTAATAAATAAAATACTAAACTCGCTCTCGTGTAAAACCAATTTTATGAAACTCGTGAATAGTTGTGGTATCTGACTCGCTTTCGCTCGTCAGATACCAGAACTATTCACTCGTTTCATAAAATTGGTATTACACGGGAGCTCGTTTAGTATTCTATATTTATTTTACATGGTTTGTTAATTATTGATAAATTATACATTTATGTAAGGCACTTATCCAGGGTACTAGTATCTGTTCAAATGCGACAATGACCAGTGAAAACAATACTATCAAATTAAATATTATTAGAGTGTTGTCATTGAAAGAAATCTATGCATATAATATGTTGTTATGGAGATTTTTAGGTACAGGGTATGTTAATATACATGATAGAATATTCATAAATATTCAGTTCTAGTGGCCATGGATAACGAATTCAATTCATGAATGGTTACGGTTCGATTCACCGAATACGCGAGTGAATCGTAACAGCCTTAGTGTAGAGTGTATTTTGGAATCCGTGGGACGAAGAATAACCAGACAGAAATATACTGAAAGAAACAAATAAGGCAACACATGAAAGTACAAGTGTTCCATTCCTCTTTGCCAGGTTTCTTCGCAAGTTTTGTGAGTGAGTGAGTGAGTTAAAATTTTAAGTCACATCGGCAATATTTCAGCCATATCGTGACTATCAATAGTTAAATATAATACATATATTGAAACTTATATAAAACACCTGCCAACGAGGGACAGTAAAATAACTAAACTTATCAAAGAAATAAATTTAAAACTAGTATGTAATCATAAAATCAATGTCACTATACATAACATTACATTATAAAAACAGGCTATAGATCGCCAGCAACTGAAGGTAGACCACCATACCGCAGGTTTTGTGTTGCACTGTGGGTGAAAACCAGGGAACGAATAAAGGAACATTGTGTGATGTGTCCATTCCCAACTGTAAACAATATGTTAACCCAGAAAACTGTACTTCAAAGAAGTTAGTGTGAAACCACCAAACAACCAACAAGGGGTATACAACAAATGGATTACAAAAATAACTAGGTTTACCAATCAATACAAATTACTGCCCAGCAATTACGATACAATGCCAGTACACAATAGAGTGGTAGTACAATATTCAGTGGCAGTATATATGATAGCAGTGGTCAGTATCAAATACAATAATACAGTTGTGACAGCAAATGTCTGTGATAATTATATATTTACCTACCAACAACAGTGATCAAGCTTCTAAGATGGCCTAGACATGGAGTCCAGGGTGATGATTGATCTTTACATGAAAGCTGGTCTTGATTGAACACTCTTGTGACCTTACATACAGTCTAACTTGCCACTGGACAATTTTACTCAGTGCCCACACAACTTAGAGTGAGTGAGTGAGTTGGGTTTAACGCCGCTTTTAACATTATTCCAGTTATATCACGGCGTGTCAGCTTAATGTGGGAGGAAAGCCCGAAGTGATGCAGGTCTTCGACGTTTACCACTTTGGTGAAACCCACGAGCACGGGTATGGTGCTGACAAACCTAGAAACATAATTGGGGCGAACCGGGATTCGAACCCACAATCATAGGTTTCTGGCGTGGCCAAGGGACGCAACTCTGCACAGCGAATCGCGGCGCCTTGGACGACTGGGCCACCCGTGCCCCCCACACAACTTAGAATATTCCACTTTGTTTCTATGACACATCACATTCCATGGTATTCAGGAAGTATCACACTAGCATCTGAATATTGTAACTTCCCCCAAACCGCTTACATTAAATAGTACTACATGTCTGACTAATCACTGTCCAATCACAATGCATGAGCGTGTATCGAGTCTTAACAGAACAGTGTGTAACACAGTTACAATCATTGTTCAACAACAACGGCGGTACTCAGTGAAGCGCTTGACACCAATTTAATAACCGTCGTTGTGCTTCCTCCGCGAAAGTAGTTGAAACTTTACATAAGTCATCCCCTGAAAAGAGAGACCCCGATCCGCGCTCCATTGCACGTCATGAAATTATTCAACTCAAATGCGCAAGATGTAGAAATATTTCAACAGCAGGTAGATAAAAACATATCTTGCATCATGTTCATAAATTCAAATATAGGAAGAAATGGCCTTCATCAGAAGTATTTGGAGTCTATTTGTCATTGAAATATATCTTGAAAGGTATAGGTATTTTTCATTATCTCAAAGGGTATATCTTTCTCAATATGTATCATACAATATTTTGTTCAAGTCTCAGGGACACTGAAAAGGTTACCTACAACCTTGGGCCCTCGTGCTTCAGATCCCAAGGCTACATACTGTAATACCAGCTTGACTTATTGTCATAACATGATTAGATTCCTCTCTATTTTCATAGATGCTTCATGGTGATGTGAAGAGCTGAACTTGTAATGGCCAGTACAGACGAGGACAGTGGACACCATCTGGCCATGACCACATCCGGTGAGCAGTCGCGAGGTCACATGGCCACTTCCAGTGAGCAGTCTGGAGGTCACATGGACACTTCCGGTGAGCAGTCTGGAGGTCACATGGACACTTCCGGTGAGCAGTCTAGAGATCACATGGACACTTCCGGTGAGCAGTCTGGAGGTCACATGGACACTTCCGGTGAGCAGTCTGGAGGTCACATGGACACTTCCGATGAGCAGTCTCGAGGTCACATGGCCATTCCTGATGTTGACTCTGAAAGTTCAGATGTAGAAAACTTAACAGCAGAGGAGGACGTTGTGCTATTGAACCAGCCACCAGTCCCCGGATTCGGTAGGTACAGTTGGTTGTCTTTGTTGCGAGAGAGAGAGTGAGTGAGTTGGGTTTAACGCCGCTTTAAACAGTATTCCAGTTATATCACGGCGTGTCAGCTTAATGTGGGAGGAAAGCCAAAAGTGATGCAGGTCTCTGACGTTTATCACTTCAGTGAAACCCACGAGCACGGGTATGGTGCTGACAAACCTTGAAACATAATCGGGGCGAACCGGGATTGGAACCCACAATCATAGGTTTCTGGCGTGCCCAAGGGACGCAACTCTGCACAGCGAATCTTGGCGCCTTAGACGACTTGGTCACCCGTGCCCCCAAGAGATAGAGAGAGAGAGAGAGAGAGAGAGAGAGATGTCCCCGATGTGGCCCCGTAAATTCCTATTCAGCGTGAAAATTTGGTTACCATGGTTACGATGATTCCTCATTATTGGTGTTGACAGGTGACCGTCCTTCAGGGGGCTCCCAGGTTGCCAACACTTTGAACATCATCACCGAACAGACCAGACAAGGAACACTTGGGAGAGGTGAGCATTCATGGCTGAAGGGTCAGTTGTCTACTTGATCTTGCACAAGACTCTTACCATTCTCAGAGTGCAAATGGTGCCTATGTTCAATCTGAATGTTATTGCCCTGGCCCAACATGTCATCCTTATGTATATATGGATGATGAAGGAACGAAGAGTATACAAACTCCTAAATATTGACAATGATGTTGTGCAAGACACTTAACAATTCTCAGAGAGCAGATTGGTGCTTATTTCTCTGTCCAAATGATATTTCCCGATGATGTGCCCCTAAGAACGTGTTGAGCCTTTCATATCAGAGTAAAACATCAGATTTCAATTTGATTGAATTTGTTCAGGGGGCTTGAATCTGGCAATATTGCATACATGGCCATTATTAACAAGTCTGAATGAAGAAGGATGTTATTTATTATTCTACCATGAATTTGGAATTTACTCGATTCTGATTGGACAATCAGAGGCTTTTAAATCACAATTAACCCCCTCTGATTGGAATAGCTGGTTTCACTGCGGAACTCAACCCATGCTGCTTCACTGAGTATATATTTGCTAACACCAAAGAGTTTGCGTTTTATTTAGTCATGGTAGAATGGAGATAAACACTGTGCTTTCAATATAGAGCTAGGTTACCTGTAGATTTAACCGCGCTAAATTTAACATTTGAAACCTCACGCTGCGCGTTTGGTTCAAAATTCAATTTAGCTTGGTTAAATCTACAGGTAACCTAGCTCTACATTGAAAACACAGTATGTTTGTCTCCTAAATAAAGTTGTTGTTGTGTACACTAAATCAGGAACAAGTTCGTATGAAAAGATCGTTTTCTCTATGCTTGCAATTCAGTTTGTATCAACAACTGATGCCACAATGCCAAGCACTCGTCACTGATCAAAGATGGTGATGTTCAGTGTTCAGTTTAAAATACTGTGGAGACATAAAAGATTTTTCAGTGAAAGTTGAAATATTTCATCATGAGAAAATTCAGATGATCCTTTCTCCTCCTACACAAAACGATGTTCCACACAGTATGATAGAGGTATCTATTTTGGTTTCTTATGTTTCATTCCAAGTGTTCATAGTAAATAGTTTTCATTCCTCCACAGGTACCCTTGATTTGCGCACAGACGAAGCGAAGAAGATTTTTCTTCCAACTGAACCCTACAAAGACATGAAACGAAAATTGAAGGAATTTGGACATGTGACCATCTGCGGGGCTTCGGGAGAAGGCAAGACAACGATGGCTCTGGTGTTAGGGTCAAAGTATAGATGCAAAGGCTACGAGGTCGTGTTTGTGGAGAATATTGAGAAGTTTGACTTAGACCACTGTCTTAGTAGACACCCCAGAGTATTCCTCATAGTAGATGACATGTTTGGTACTGTTGGAATATCTGCGAATACATCACAGGTGAAATCCTTTCTAGACAACCTTCTCCTCCATTTAGAACAAAAGTGGAGTGTGGAAAAGCTGCAGTCAGAAATGCATGAAAGCTATAATGCTGTTGGTAAATCCAGAAAGAAAGTGCAGAGTCAACCAGAATTTCAAACAAAAGATAGTGATACTGTTGGTAAATCCAGAAAGAAAGTGCAGAGTCAACCAGAATTTCAAACAAAAGATATTCGTGTGATCTTCACATCAAAGTCATACAACTTCCATGATGGACTTGCAAAACTGCAGTATGAGGGTTTCAAACTGTTCAATGGTCAAACTGTAATGGATTTAACCACACAAGATAAATACTGGCTTTCTGACAAAGAGAAAAAGACAATATTTGAACAACATAGGAATGCTCTTGGTGACCGCTCCATGCAACATATACCTGATTACAGTGAGCTGGAAATCTGTTCAAATATCTTTGGATTCCCTCTTATTTGTAAACTTTGTTTTGAATTTTCATCTTTCTACAAAAATGCAAAAGCTTTTTTCAAGGAACCTCTGTTTTATCTCAGGCTAGAACTAAACCTTTTGCTTGAAGAGAGAAATGACCGATCAGCCATTCTGGTTCTGATGCTACTGTGTGAAGACAAATTGGACCTGACCAAGTTAGACAGTGAAGGTGAGGATAAGGAAATCGACAGCCTGGTCAAAACTGTTTTACGGCTGATGTCTGACGCTACACGTTCAGGCATGTACAAAGCAGCTAAAAGTTTGAGAGGTACATTTTTCACAAGAGGAGACACTGTTGGATTTGCTCATTCTTCAATCTATGATGCTTGTGCCTGTGCCTTGTACAATATCAGTCCAATCTTTGTTTTGAAGCACTGCAGTGATGACTTTCTGTTTGAAAGGGTACAAGGTGATAAGGTTGAAGAAACCAAAGTTGATGATCATCTCCATTTGATATATGTCTCAGAGAATTATGATGGCCTACTTACCACAAGGTTTGCACAGTCTATCAAACAAGGACAGTTTTCTAAATCAGTGACACATCCAATTCTCAAACAAGACGCCACAGTTTTCAAGCTGCTCAACAAACTTCAGTGTGATCGGACAAAACAGCTTCATCAGCATAATCAAACTGATTCTGAGGAAGAACCTTGGTTTCACAAGAAAGAGAAAGGACAATGCTTTCTGTATTGGGCAGTTCTTGGACATAATGCACGTCTAGTTACAGATATAGAACACACAACTGGAGAAGAGTTCACTCAAGGAGAAATCAGTGATGCCATGGAAGGATGTGCACAAAGCAACAACGTGACAGCATTGAAATGGCTGTTCAGCAGGAGTGAGAAACATGACCATCAGTTGACACTGAACAGACTTTTGTTGGTAGCTGCTGAAAGTGGCAGCTCTGACATACTAGTGTATCTGCTGCAGGAAGGCGCTGATATTAACACAAGTGACAAAAACATGCAAAACATCTTCCATCTTGTCAGTAAATCAGGAACGGAAAAAACCCTGAAAGTCCTGTTAACCAGGAAACCTGGCAATAATGTTATAAACTCTGTTGATGTGAATGGCAGGACCCCTGTCATGGTTGCAGCACACACGGGATCAGAGGGATGTTTTAAGTTACTGCAGACAATATCAAACTTGAATGTGAAAGACAAATATAGCTACCGAATTATTCATCTTGCCTGCATTGGTGGTACCAAGGCTATAGTGCAACATGTCCTGTCTCCTTCTAACATCAACAGTAGAGGGAGGCATGGATACACACCAGTAATGGTGGCAGCTGTCAGTGGACATCAAAGTGTGTTTGATCTCCTTGTGTCCAACCAAGCTGACCTCACACTGGTGGATACAGATGGTAATAGTTTACTTCATCTTGCCTGTCAGGGTGGGAACACAGCTATAGTACAGCATGTCCTGTCACCTTCTAACATCAACAGTAGAGGGATACATGGATTCACACCAGTAATGGTGGCAGCTGTCAGTGGACATCAAAGTGTGTTTGACCTCCTTGTGTCCAACCAAGCTGACCTCACACTGGTGGATACAGATGGTAATAGTTTACTTCATTTTGCCTGTGAGGGTGGAAACACTGCTATAGTACAACATGTTCTGTCTCCTTCTAACATTAACAGTAGAGGGATATATGGATACACATCAGTAATGGTGGCAGCTTTCAGTGGACATCAAAGTGTGATTGACCTCCTTGTGTCCAACCAAGCTGACCTCACACTGGTGGATACAGATGGAAATAGTTTACTTCATCTTGCCTGTGAGGGTGGAAACACTGCTATAGTACAACATGTCCTGACTCCTTCTAACATCAACAGTAGAGGGATATATGGATACACACCAGTAATGGTGGCAGCTTTCAATGGACATCAAAGTGTGTTTGATCTCCTTGTGTCCAACCAAGCTGATCTCACACTGGTGGATACAGATGGTAATGGGTTACTTCATCTTGCCTGTCGTGGTGGGAACACTGCTATAGTACAACATGTTCTGTCTCCTTCTAACATCAACAGTAGAGGGATACATGGATACACACCAGTAATGGTGGCAGTTGTCAGTGGACATCAAAGTGTGATTGACCTCCTTGTGTCCAACCAAGCTGATCTCACACTGGTGGATACAGATGGTAATTGTTTACTTCATCTTGCCTGTCGGGGTGGAAACACTGCTATAGTACAACATGTTCTGTTTCCTTCTAACATCAACATTAGAGGGATACATGGACACACACCAGTAATGGTGGCAGCTGTCAGTGGACATCAAAGTGTGTTTGACCTCCTTGTGTCCAACCAAGCTGACCTCACACTGGTGGATACATATGGTGACAGTTTACTTCATCTTGCCTGTCAGGGTGGGAACACTGCTATAGTACAACATGTCCTGTCTCCATCTAACATCAACAGTAGAGGGATGCATGGATGCACACCAGTAATGGTGGCAGCATTAAGTGGACATCAAAGTGTGTTTGACCTCCTTGTGTCCAACCAAGCTGACCTCACACTGGTGGATACATCTGGTAATAGTTTACTTCATTTTGCCTGTCATGGTGGCAACACAGCTATAGTGCAACATGTCCTGTCTCCTTCTAACATCAACAGCAGAGGGAGGCATGGATGCACACCAGTAATGGTGGCAGCTGTCAGAGGACATCAAAGTGTGTTTGAGCTCCTAATGTCCAACAAAGCTGACCTCACACTGGTGGATACAGATGGTCATAGTTTACTTCATCTTGCCTGTCAGGGTGGGAACAATGCTATAATACTACATGTCCTGTCATGGATACACACCAGCCAAGAATCTTCAAACAGTTAAGCACCCTCACTGATTAAACTCTCTCCTATCAAACAAATCAACAGTAGAGGGAGTCAAGGAGACACACCAGTTATGAAGGCTGGATTTCATGGATATAAAGATGTGGTCGACCTCCTTGTGCAGCACAAAGCTGACCTCACACTTCTAACAGACAGGGATGAGGACATTGAATGTGTAGCTCAGATGGGTGGACATCCAGCACTAACCAGTTATCTTCAAATTGTGAACCATCCACACTGATTAAACTGTCTCCTATCAAACAAATCAACAGGACTGTTCTTTACCATGCTATACATTCACCTGCAAGTTTGGATACACTGGTACAGAAAAAGAAAGATGCACAGCCTTTTGAAGAAAGAAATGCTTACACAGGATTCAGGAAACAAAGTGCATTTGTAAGACAGTTACTCAATTGTTATCCTAATATAAGACAATAACAATTCACTGAATGATTTGGTTATATGTAATCAGACTGGTATGCCGCAAGAAGTGGGGGGCGCACCCTTGATAAGCAAGATTTTCTGCAGATCAGTTGTTGTAAAAACATTTGAAGTAGAAACCCCAAAATGTGGTCTCTTGAAAGATACAAGACTCCACTGCCAGAATATAACATGGTGAGTCACTCAGTTAATAGCCATAATCCGGTGCACGAAATCTCCCATGGTAGTACCTGTTGCTAATTACAGGACACAGGACATGCAGTCTATCTCACAAGCTCTTACATAATCTGTGGGCCTGGCGCCATGTTGTTGATATCGACAGCCAAACATTGCCTTGTTACTCGCATTCTGGTTGGTTTCCATGACTGAGTAGCGAAGCAAATCAAACTGGCTAATGAAAATCAAGGGCGGGTAATTTGTGATCACGAGTTTGGTGTTTTGGGTACAGAGTTGGTAAAAAACTGCAAGTGACAACAGATCACGTTGACAATATGGTGAAGCAGAATAGTTTCCGGAAAGTGACATCTCGTGAGTGACTAAAAAAAACACGCATCATCATTTTGTATGGTGGTAAATCTGGACAGAATTGAAGTGACCTAATAGATATGACTTTAATGAGATTACCATCATTGATATGTTGGCTGTAGGAGCAAAGTTTGTTACATTTCCTATTTAAATTAGGCCCGTTAAGGGTGCTGCTTAATATATTTGCTTGGTTTTGAGATTGACAGATGTTACAGACTTCAAAGCTTTATACCCCTAGGATGTTTTTACATATGATTAGATGACATGAGAGGTTCAAAAAGCCTGTGTACGCCATAACTTGAGTACTTATTAATGGAATTTCATGAATCTTAGTATATGTGATCTCTAGCGTTTGGTGACCTCCATATAAGGTCAAGGTCACTGGAGGTCAAATAATAGTGAGTGAGTGAGTATGGTTTTACTGTCCTGGGCTGTGGGGGTCACACTTGATTTACCAGATCTGGGAAGGTCACGTGTCATTGTCCAGATAAAGAGGACACGTAAACGAAAACCCTGCACTTTCATGGACCTTGTGTTCATGTTTAACATGCAGATCACACACAGGCATGGTCACATGGTTTGCACGTGGATGAGTTTTGGAGAATTTGCATGTTTGTAGTCTGTATTTTGCCTTAAGGCAACGGTAACAATAGTGTTATGTTTGGACCACCTGTATATTCATGATTCCTGTATCACAATGTGTAAAAGTCCGACATTGTAGCAGTTGCTGGTTGAAGTCATTTCATTTTGTCTGTCTTTATCATGTTTATTTAAGGAATTGTACTTTCATTAAAAATGTGTGTTCACAATGTATCTTGAGCATTTATATGTAAATAGAACTTGACAAGACTTTATAAACATATCTTGATCGTTCGTGATTGAGATTGAATGTCAAGGTAATTAAACCAGATGTGCTTGTTATGTAAGGCAGCTA